ATATGAAAGTACATACCAAATCATGTTTAAACATTCATATATATCATTACCATGCATACATATGAATCATACATCATATATTTATACATACATAATCCAACTTCAATTTTAAACATACGAAAGCATCATTTTCATTCATAATACCTAGCATACTCATGCCCAGTGCAAGTCAGCTCGCACTTGACCTAAATCCAACCCGAGAGCTCTAAGGCTCTTCCACGCCCGGCATAAAATTACCACGCCCAACGTCATCTAGAAAGAGACTTATAGGGTTCTCCACGCCCGACGCACCCAACTCTATGCTTGGCACCATATCAGTAACACACTCTATAGAGTCACCATCTGATATCGTGTCTGGCATGGTTCTCCTCACGCCCGGTGTGATTCATCCAAAGGCTTCCATCTCAAATCACGCTTGACGCGACTAACCTCGCGCCCGACATGATTAGGAAATGGTTGTCTCTGATGAATGCACGCCCGATGCCAAGAACGTGTGTTCGGCACAAATTCAAACAACAACCCCAAAAACTCAGAATTTCTATCTAAAACTTGAAAATTAGAGGATCTAGCCACATGCAGTCCATGAAACATAATATATAGACTCCATACAATTTGAAAACAATCTCAGATTCAACATGCATTCACCCGATGCATCAAAATCACCAAAAACCTCATTTTGCCTAAAACCCCGAAATGAGCAAATCCTTCAATTCAACCATTGATTCTCAATACTCATGCACCAATTGAGTTCCTAAACTCACATGCAACCAATCAACTTACATTCTAGCTTCCCTCACCTGAAAATTGGCTCAGAACAGTCAAGAAATGAGAAGAATAAGAATTTCCCCCGAAGCTTGACCCGTAGACTTCAATCCTTCAAAAACAAGTTTTTCTAGCCTGAATTCTAAGAAATGATAGAAGAGATTAGTAATTTAGAAGAGAAGAGGAATCATGTAAAGAAATTTGGGAGAAAAGGGAGTCCTTATCTCTAAAATTTCTCTCTAAATTTTTTTTGAGAATGAGCTTATGAAGTTTCGATCCCAAAAAAAACCTTTATACCCTTCTTTCTAGAGTTAACTAAACTCTAAACAATAACTTACTACATTACAATATTTTTAAACAAATATTAAAGACCAAGTTTATAAAGAATTGAATTAATTGATATATACATTTTAAAAGTCGAGTTCAAGTTTAATTTATTACTCTTTTTTTTTTTTAATATTAGAGACCAAAATAGTTATGGATTCTAATTCACAAAGTAGTACAAAACTGACTCTAAGTTTTTAAATACTAAGGAGCAGGTGTTGTCAATAACTTCAAGAATTATATCAATGTGCTTTACTTGTTTTTATGACTTAAGAAAAATAAAATTTTAAGTAAATATTTTCTATATAGTATAAATTATTTCAATTAACCATTAATAAGAAAATATCTTAGATTTCCATTTTTAAATTGTACTTCATCTAATTATGAATATAAGTAATAAAGGAATAATTTACACGAACTAAAAAAAAGTTACTTAATATATTTAATTACACTAATTTTATTTTAAAAAATAATTTAATTTTCTAAATTATTATTTATTAAAATTTGATATCAAGAATAAAAATATTACTAAAAATAAAATAGTAATTAATTAAATAATAAAATATTTTTAGAAATAGTTGTATTAAATAAATTAATTTAATTAATATATATTAAAAATATCTATAATTTAATTATAAAAAAAGTTAAAAAAAATATTGTTATGTTGAGCTGTGTTGTAAGCTGTTATTGTTGTATGCTGATTTGCTGAGCGGTTGTAGGCCGTAAGGCTGAGCTGTTGTAGGCTGTAAGACTGAGCTGTTATAGGCCGTAAGGTTGAGTCACTTGTTTTCTCCCAAACTCTCTTCTTCCTCACAAATTCTCTGAACCTTGTGGCTGATTTCATTTTTCTCTCTAGCTGAAGTCGTGAGTGAACAAGGAGGTTCATTCTCTCAAACTTGAAGCCGTTCAGAGCTAGTCGTGTGCGGATTCTCTTTTTCTTCTCCTTTCTCTTCCTGGAGTTCGGAATCGTCTCACCGAGGTAAGGGAAGTTAGGATTTCTTGCCAGGTGTTTGATTTAGTGAGCTAGGACTCACGAATTGCTAAAGTTTCAAAGGATTTGAGTGGTTTTGGATGAAAACTCGTTTTCGGGGCTTTGGGTGAAAATCGGGGTTTTTCTCATTTGATGGTTGCATGCTGAAAATGAGCTGGTTGTTTGATGTAAATGTGGTATTTTGGATGGGTTGCATGTGTTGGATGGCTTGATTTGTGCAGGTTTTGGAGAGATTTTCGAAGTTTGAGGGTTGCTGCTGGGTATTCCGCCGGGCGCCGTTCTTCGCGTCGGGCGCGTGACCACCAGGGGCCTCCTTTTAGGCAAGCCCGTCGGGCGCAAAGGTGTGTGCGTCGGGCGAGCTTAAGAATGTGAGCCTCTAGATGGCCCATGCCGGGCGTGACTTGGACCGCGCCGGGCGCGATATCAGTAGGTGACATGTTTTGGGTTTTCTAGTGTTGCGCCGGGTGTGATCTTGTCTCGTCGAGCGTGGAGACTCCTTAGGAGTCTCTACCATGGGGGCGCTAGGCGTAATTGGAATTGTTCCGGGTGCGAGACCTTGAGGAGGTCTCTGCTTTCCCTGCGCCGAGCGCGGGTTTGGGCACGCCGGGCGCATGAGACTCCTAAGAGTCTCTACCTGGGTTGCGCTGGGCGCAAAATGGTATTATGCCAGGTGCGTTTGAGCCTTGGCCTCTCTGGCTGGTCTGCGCTGGGCGCGAGTACTCTTGCGTCGAGCGCGCTGGCCCCTAGTGCTCTCTGGTTGTGTCGCGCTGGGCGCGACCATGAGTGCACCGGGCGCGGAGGTGATGTTTAGCTATATGCTATTAGATGTTGTGAAATGCTGATAAATGTTGTTTTATGCTGAGCTGAGATGTAAATGTTAAATATTGTTGTGCTGATTAGACGATAATGCTGAATTATAATATTGTTATGTTGAGCTGTGTTGTAAGCTGTTATTGTTGTATGCTGATTTGCTGAGCGGTTGTAGGCCGTAAGGCTGAGCTGTTGTAGGCTGTAAGACTGAGCTGTTATAGGCCGTAAGGTTGAGCTGTTATAGGAGATCTCCGAGCTGATATGTGTGACGACGCATTGTGTGTTTATTGTTGTTTATGTTGTATAATTGTTATGTTGAGCTGTGTTGTAAGCTGTTATTGTTGTATGCTGATTTGCTGAGCGGTTGTAGGCCGTAAGGCTGAGCTGTTGTAGGCTGTAAGACTGAGCTGTTATAGGCCGTAAGGTTGAGCTGTTATAGGAGATCTCCGAGCTGATATGTGTGACGACGCATTGTGTGTTTATTGTTGTTTATGTTGTATAATTGAGGAGTTGTATGCTGATGATGTGTTGATAGCGGTAGCTGTTTACGTAGACTATTTTCTATTTTATGATTTTTCCAATGTTTTTCCATAAAAAAATATAGGTGGCAACTCCTCTTTTTCAATTTATTTTTCGCCGTCCCGTCGCGACCGAGGTTGCTACACTTATTAAGGACACAAGTTGTTTAGGGAATGAACAGGCATAAACGTCCTTAACAGTAATCTTGCTTTTCTACCCAACAACAATATTAATGCAAAAAATGACAAAAATCATTTCAAACCAAATCCAAGTTAACAATAAATGGTAAAATTTACTAAGTATTCAAATCAATAACCCTCAAGTGGATCTGATACCACCAATAATTTTTTAGGAGAATAAAAAAATTAAATTTGTATACTTGAAATGTAGTTGGAGGGTTGATATATAGTTACGTGAAAAGTGGAGCTTTATATTGAATTAGAATAATGGGATGCTGAAGAGTGAAGAGTGAAGAACATGCAAGAGAGAATAGTTTTTGAAGGAAATTGGCTTTTTGTCAATTCAATGCAAGTGCAAATTTTGTATTTAGTAGGGACTTTTCACCGCCTTATACATGTGGCGCGCGGTCACGTTAAAATATTGGTTAAAATTTTCTTATTATTTTATTTTCAAAAATTATTTTGATTGTTTATTTTTTAAAATGTAATTTTAGTTATTTATCTTTTAAAATCAAATTGATTTAATCTTTTTTATAATAATAATATTAACCATTTTCAATTTTGTAGCATAACTTTGAATATTTAGTTAATTGATTGAAGATATAAAACTTTTTCAACAAATTTACCTATATAATAAACATAAAATTTAATTAATTGATGTTCGAATTCAAAAGAGTTGTAAATGTTGTGTAAATCACATATAAAACGTATCACACGAACAATTAAAAAATAATTTGAAATAAAATTATTTTTAATTTTTGGATTGTTTCTTAAACTTATTTTTATGTATTTTTTGTGTGTATAACTCTTTTTGGTTCAAATATCAATTACATTCAATAATTTTTTGGATTTAATGAGACACATTTTAAATTTTAAATTTTAAAATAAAAAATAATTTAGAGTTATTGTATCTCAAATTAAAAATAATCATATTTTCAAAAGAACTAAATTAGCTCAAATTAAAAATTTAAAAAATAAAATGATAATTTTAAAAGATAAATCACCACGTTAAATCCTAAAAATAAAATAAACTGATAAACGGTATAGGTATAATTTAGTATAAAATATTTTTATAATACCCTAGTATTTTCAATTAAAACATGTGGACTTCTATTATTTCATTATAGAAACTTAAAAATGCAAGTTGTCCCGATTTTTCTAGTTGCTCTCAAGGCTTCATATGCTTCTTTTAATTTCTCGAAATTTGTACCATTTTTCTTCAATTTTATTTTTTGCAATAGCAAGGCCATGCATCTTTTATTAAAGATATGTTTATGCACTAAGTGCACCATTTTTGCATAAACTCTCCTTATTTTGCACAAACTAAAACAGAAGTATAAAAAGAAAACACAAAAAACCTAAATGAGAAAGAAAACAGCAACATGTGTATGTTTGCTTTACCATCATTAGATCAGCTACTCGATCCACCTAAGAGTTCTGTACCTTTGTCCTCTATAGTGTTCATAAACAAAGTCAAGCTGAGGGACAACCTTGTAAAGCAAGTTATCCACGAGCTTCCAATACAAAACCCTCCACCTTTCCAACAACATAAGCGGAAGGATGACGGCTCCAAAACCAAAAATCAATCCCAACTCTACACTCAAGAAATTCCACTCAAACTCAATTGATCCATACATTTCTTGTACTGGTAGTGTTGGAGGTGAATGCCCCACTTCGTCATTGGTGCAATCTTTTAAGGGTAGTCCACATAATCCTTCATTGCCATCAAAATAACGTGACTCAAATGTTTGCATGTGAGCACCTGTTGGGATTTTCCCCCGCAAATGATTGAATGAGAGGTCCAAGTATCCTAGAGCATCAATACTTGCCAGCATAGGAGGAATTTCCCCGCTCAGATTGTTATTTGACAAGTCCAAGGATTCAAGATTTATCAAATTTCCAATTGATGAGGGGATGTGGCCTGAGAAAGCATTATGTGACAAGTTAAGAACATGTAGTCCTCTCAAACTCGCAAGTTCTTCAGGTATTGGACCTTGAAAATGGTTCGAGGAAAGATCCAGTGAAGTGAAGATGGTGGGAATTTTGATGAACGTCCTTGGCTGATCTTTGTACACAACTGTAACTGAATCCAAGTAGCGACCGCCAAATTGGTTGGAAGTGACATAATAAGCAAATATGTGGTCAGCTACAGTATAAGGTTGAGTTGCTAACAATTTTTGCAATTTTATTACGAGGAATTCGCTGATCACTGAGAACAAATTATTGTAACGCATATTGTCATGATTATCAAACATGTCAAAAAATAAATCCCCATACTCTTCTCGTGATTCAGTCTCATTACCCACCATTTTTGTCCAGCTTTTCAAAACTGGTCCAGGTAGTTTTCCTGTGAAATTATTGGAGGCTAGATCCACAATATGAAGCATCTCCCAATTGGTAGTGCTATTTGAGCACGCAATGACACCGTTGAGCTTGTTTGACCTCAAAATTAGCACTCGTAGGGTTGAAATGTTCCTTAAGTAGCATGGAAATCTATCACTAAACTGATTCTTTCCGAGATTTAAGACTTGTAGACTCTGACAGTTGGCTAGAGAGTTTGGGATAACACCACTCAAGTGATTTCCATTGAGACTAAGGAACCTTAAATTACATGAACTTGAAATGGTATCAGAAATATAACCCTGGAGTTTGTTTCCATCAAGATTAAGTACCCTGAGGATACTATTCCTTTCCATCAAACACATGGGAATGGAGTCATTGAAGCTATTGTAGGAAAGATCAAGCAACCGGAGATAAGAAAAATTACAAAAGGCTTCATGGATTTTCCCTTGAAAGCTGTTATTTGAAAGGGAGAGGAAGTATACAAAAGGGATATACTTATCAATGTCAAGTGGGGCAGTGTTAAATTTATTGCTCGAGTAGTCCACATGGACAATATATTTTGTGAAAGTAGGAATTGATCCAGAAAGTTGATTGGAATGAAGATCAAGGATATATAGATTTGAATTCAGATCATCAAAGGGCCCTTCCATAGTTGTGAGATAATTGTTGGAAAGATTTAAGTAAACCAGAGATTCAAATCTCCATATCCAGTTAGGTATTATTCCTTGAATCTGATTGTTGGTTAGGTCTAGAGCATGTAGTTGGGGTTGGTTTCTCAAGAACCTTGGAAATTTCCCCAACTTACAAGAACCCAACAATACATATTCCAATCTGGGAAAGGATGGAAAGTCATGATCATTGTCTGAAGTTATATCAACAGATAAATCATTGCTTGAAAAACCTAACGTGTGCAAATTCTTTAGACTCTGAATCATATCAAGTCTTATGGTGCCACTGAACTCATTTGCAGAAAGTTGTAGGAAACGAAGTTCTTCAAGATGAAAGATAGATTCAGGAATAGGACCACGAAATTTGTTGCTGCTCAAGTCAATCAACTGTAACTTAGAGGAAGCAACATTTGGGAGTTCATCTAATGGACCGTCAAATCCATTATGAGAAAGTGTAAGTTCTTGCAAAGATGGAAGTGCAAAAAGTGACACGGGAATTTTTCCACTAAAGGAATTATCTCCTAGATTGATAATGAGGACATTTTCAAGTCCCTCAAAATGAGTTCTAGAAATGGTTCCATTTAATTTATTGTGCAAGACAGATAAATATCTGAGATTTTTTGCCATGTTGAAAGAGGGAAGTGGACCAGTAAACTTGTTATAAGACAATTCCAAATGAACAAGTTGAGTGAGTTCAGACATCGAAGTTGGGAGTGTTTCAATGAACAGGCAGTTATATACATCTAAGATCGACAACTGCTTTAGATTGGAAATAGAACCTGGTAATTTCCCAGAGAAAATTGTATTACTAAGATTCATGGTGTGAAGAACTGCATGTTGTAGGAAATTTGGCAAAACACCATGAAGATCTTGGTTGTTTGAGATATCCAGAACACGTAATGTTTGTATTTGGAAGATACCCGTTGGAAAACGACCACTCAACCTGCAACTGCTAAGCTCCAAGTTAATCAAATTGGAGAAATTTGCAAAGAATTCCGGCACAGGGCTTGAGATATTATTCAGATTCAGTCGAACCACTGAGAGTCCCTGAAGTGTTGCTAGTGAAGAATCAATTGGTCCTGAGATATTGCATGATGACATGCTCAAGACTTTTAGCTTTTGGAGAGAAGATAAAGCATGACACCACTTCTCTCCCTTGGCAGATACCCTTACACCATCAAGATATAATTCTGTGATGTTTGTAAGGTTCTGCAAAAACACTCCAATATTTGGATTCTGAAGTTTTAGAATATTTTGTGAGCCAAGTGACGTTGACAAGTCAAGCGTTGACAAATTTGTCAGGAGAGAAATTTGAGCAGGAATCTGCCCATGAAATCCAGCATTTGACAAATTTAAACACTTCAAATTCTTTAGCGTGCCAAACTTGAAAGGAATGGAAGAATTGAAATAATTGTGAGCCAGATTCAAATTCTGCAAATATTGCAGCTTAAAGAGACTCGAATTGTTTAGTCCTCCAGAAAGAAATTCCTCACTCAAGTCAAGACCAATCACACGGCCCATGATGCATGTTACTCCACGCCATTGACAACAATCGCTGCTTTGGTTCCAGTGAACCAATTTTTTGGATGTGGCAGGGTTGAATACAAGGTTGTCTTTCAGGTGGAGTAATAAGAATTGCTGATGGTCAAGACAATAGGATGTTGCTACGTAGATTTTGATATTCAAGTTTATCAAGCACAAGGGTATGAAGATATTAAAGAATATTTGATGGAGTCTCATTGTAGATGACGGTATTAATTAGAATCAACTCAATGACTGAGAGGTTAAGGAGATTGAGGGTGGTGTAGTTTGATGTTTGAACAACATATCCTTTTATAGAGATTCAAAATCTCACTTGTTGACTATATCATGTATTATGTAATTAGCATGCATGACACTAACGCGTAAGTTATTACTTAATATTTAGGGTGAAGAAGCCAACCATAAAAATAAAGAGGAGGGACTCACTTCTTTCATAAGTAAGACTACCTAAACTTATTACACTTAATAACTCATGTTTTATATCAAATTTAATAATCTAATAGTTGAATTAAAATTTTTAATGCAAATATTAAGTCTGCAAATTTTTAAAAAATTTAAAAATTATTCAATATTATATTTCATTAATTCAAATCAACGTATAAAATATTTTTATGATTATCCATCAATTTGATTTAATGAAATAGTATAACGATCTGCTATGGTCATCTCACTTCACAACACAAAACTAACTGCACATATGAATATATACTAAAGACAGTAATATAATATATGTAACAACATCTCCTGAATATATATATATATA